TATGTTGTTAGTGTTGTCAGCTAGTACATGCATTCTCCTAGAACCACACATCTTCTTGCGGCAGAAAGAATCTTAGCCTACTTGAAGAGATGTCCGGGTAGGAGTATACTGTTCAAGAACAACAACCACATGAAGGTGGAGGTCTATATGGATGCTGATTGGGCTGGGAGTGTTGATGACAGAAGGTCTACCTTAGGATATTGTGCCCTTGTGGGAGGAAAYMTTGTCTCCTGGAGAAGTAAGAAACAAAGTGTTGTCTCCCGGTCTAGTGCTGAAGCAGAATACAGGTCCATGGCCAACGGAGTGGCTGAAATCCTATGGCTAAGATCTCTACTTGAGGAGTTGGGTATTGAGTATGAGAAGCCTCTGATGCTGTATTGTGATAATCAAGCAGCCATTAATATAGTACATAATCTAGTGCAGCATGACAAAACCAAGCACATTGACGTTGATCGCTGTTTTGTACGAGAGAGGGTCTCATCTCAAGAAAGAAACTAGAAGCGGATCTATCCAAGTTGGGAATGATGAACATTTACTCCCAACTTGAGGGGGAGTGTAGAGAACAYTGATGTGGGCCCCACAGCTGTGGTCCCACTCTGTCCGTAGGGTAAAATGTATTTAGTCATAGCTGATGGTCAATCTGTTATTCTGTTATTCTAGTTGTTATTTACTTTTCAGTTTTATATTGTTATGTGTTATGATTTAAACACCAAGGGCAGATGTGTCCTTTCATGTAACTAGCATAACATATAAATATTAAATTGAAGTGGCGGCGGCAGAATATTGAGATTCTGTTCTTCTCCTCAAAGCCTGTGTTCTACTGCTCTCTCACTACTCTTTCTCCTCTTTCTTCTTCACTTTCTCTTCTCTTCGAACCTGAAGTTTCTTAGTGATCAAGACTGATAGCAGTCTTGAAAACCTACAAACAGGAAGGGAAGAAAGGACACTCTTGATTAGAGTGAGCTTACCTCCCTTTGATAGATACCTTGATTTCTAACCAGCCAGCCTCTTATCAATCCGCTCCAAAATGGGATCCCAGATATACTTGGAATTGCATTTAGCCCCTAAAGGTATTCCCAAATACTTCAAGGAGAGCTTACCTACTGTAAAGCCCCAAGAGTCAACCCAAGACTGCAGCTCTTGAACCCTCCCCACTACCACCAGTTCACTTTTGTGAACATTCAAATGCAAGCCTGAGACCACTTCAAACCACCACAGAATGGCCATTAGGTAATCAATTTGCTCCTTGGAAGCATTACAGAAAAAAATCGAGTCGTCTGCAAACTGTAGTAGAGGAATCTCCAGCCTGTTTTCTCCTACACTGAAACCTTCCAAGAAACCCCCATTCACTGCCTTCCAAGTTAATTTCCCTAAAACTTCCATCACACATAGAAATAGCAAAGGAGATAAAGGGGTCTCCCTGCCTTAAAACCCCTTGAGCTCCTAAAGTGACCACATGCCCTCCCATTAACCAAGCCAGAAAAGGATGGAGTGGTGGTGCACACTTTCATCCAATTCCTCCACCCAAGGATTAAAGTATCGGAATCGAGTATCGTATCGGATAACTTGGATACGGATACGCTTTGGAAACGCATGGATACGGACGAAAAATATGATATGCTAGAGAAACACATAAAAATTTCATAATACATTAATAATATTAAATTTAAGGTCAAATAACCATAAATAATGTATAAATACATACAAAGTATATATTTTAATGGTGTATATGAAAAAAATATATTACAATTAATATAATATGATGCATAGATATCATACAATTTTATTGATAATGTATTAATCAAGAGTCCAAAATGCAAAACATATTTTCCTATTATATTTTAATTATTATATCAATTATTTTCGATTTTACTATTTTTACTTTTTTACATTAACAAAGAGGTCAACCAAATATTAAATTCTCTATGTAAATTAAAATATCCATTAATAATTTATAAAATGTATAATCTCAACTTAAAGTATATCAAATCTATTAAAATTTCTAAGATACATACCATATGCATTCATAATTTTTAATTTTTAAAATGATTGTTCCATTATTATATTTTTACTCCTATAATTTTCTAATTAAAAATCTTTTTTTGGTATATATGTAGATTAGTAGATTTTATAGATTCAGTTTAAGATTATATTCTTGAATATTTTGTAAACAATGTTTTTATTTTCTAAATAATAAATATGATTTTATGTAATGTAAATATATATATATATATATATATTCTCGTATTAATATTATATATATATATGATTTTATAGATTCATGTGCAAATTTATAAATTTTAAGTACTAAAATAATTATTCTCATATTAATATTATATTTTTATTTTTTTTTTGAGATTCAAATAATATTTTGATATAAATGTGGATTTGATATATTATTTATTTCTATTATTTTATAAAATAATGATTTCAAGTATTACTTTTTTTAATTTTTAGTTGGAGTTAGCAGTAATATGTATTATTTATTTGAATTGCATTTGAGTAATAAAGAAATAAAATTTGTACTCATTTAGTCATAAACACAAAAGATGGAATGGCGTAGTGGCTTAAAGGCGCGGGTGTTAAGCTTTCCCTTAGCTCTTGACACGGATTCGAATCCTTGCAACTCTCTTTTTCAGTAGAAGAGTATGCGCATGCGATACGGACGTTAAGTGTATCGCTCTATATCTGTCTGTATCGATATGTATCAGCCGATACAGTGCAATCCGGACCGATACACACCCGTATCAGCCCGATACGCACAACTGGTAGGATACATCTCCAGTCATAGCGTATCCCGTGCCTGGCACTAACGATACCAATACAATACGCCTCGTATCGGAGTATCGTATCAATATTTCAATCCTTGCCTCCACCTGGAACTGAAGTTCATTCTCCTTAAAATGCAGTCCAAAAAATCCCAGTTCACATGGTCGTATGCTTTTTCAAGATTCATCTTGCATAGCAGTCCTGCTCTACCACTTCTAAACCGGGAATCAATCAGCTCATTTGCAATTAGAACACCATTCACCACTTGTCTCCCCTCAACAAATGCACCTTGGAATTCAGAAATAATAAGCCCCATGACAGGTTTCATTCTTTTAGCTAGAACTTTTGAGAAAATTTTGTAAATGCTACCAACAAGACTGATCGGCTTGAAATCCTTTAATTCTTCAGCACCATGCTTTTTCAGGATTAGAGATATAAAAGTGGAATTAAGGCTTCTCTCAAGAGTAGCTGAAGCATGGAATTCTAAAAAAACAGCCATAAGGTCTTCTTTCAAAAAACCTTAACACCTTTTAAAAAATTTTGATAGTAAAACCATCAGGTCTCGGTGCCTTATCACCACCTTCCATCTCTTTAATTGCTTCCCATACCTCCTGCTCTGCAAATTCCCTCTCCATGTTCCTCATCTGCTCTTCAGGTAAGCTGTTAAAATTCAGTCCATCTACCTCAACATAAGAATTCAGATCTCCCTTAATAGACTTCAAACTAACTAGGAAACTGACCCAAAATAACTTCTAATTTCATCAAAATTTCAAACAAAGGAAAACCTGTATGTAACCCATAATAGGCAAAACAGAACTCCAATATAGACCCAAAAAGTAGAGACTCAAATCCCATCACAGCTTGAGACCCTACCACTAAAATGAACATAAAAAGGGCCATTACCCATGCTGGTACCAGCTATCTAGGGTCTTGGGAAGGGTGGACTGGGTACAGATCAATCCATGACATCTATTTTTCACAAAGTGACTGCTTTCAGATTTGAATCCATCTTCTCAAACTTGTCAACTTGAGATTTTACCATTAGACCAAGAAATGGCCCCTACCGAAAATGGGCATAACTCTCTCAAAACATGTCGGTTTACAATATGTTGGTCTTGTTCAATAGATGACCCAATTGCCTATCTAATGACACCAAAATCATGCAAAACAAACATGTTTTGACTTCTGAAAACTAGGCTTAAAGAAAAGTGACGTGATAACAACCACAACTCTTCAAAAGTCCAAAAACTCTCTAAGAAAGACAGACAAATAATTGTAACCCCTCCAAATAATTTACCTTATTTATCTATCAAAATAATGATTATCCTTGTTAGTAAGTCACTAACAAACTCTTCAAAAAGAAAAAAAAAATTACCAATAACCAAAAAAATTATGAAAATGCCTATGGTGTATGAAATAGGAATAAAAAAACTTGATTTTTTGTTCCATGGTTTTTTTGTACAAATTCTTCCAAGGATTCTTTCTTTTTTTTGACATCTACATAACATGTGTATGTCTAAGATGAACAATAAGAATATATCTTATTCCTATTCCATAGAGCAGGCTTAGCAATTCCTCTTTATCTTACATATTCCATGAAAGAGATTCATCCAATCATATGATGTATAAAAGAGCAAAGATAGACCTTATTCAAGCATCGATGTGCCTCTAAAACTGCTTTCAGATTCAACATTGGTTCACCCATTCCCATAAACACAACATTTGTCACCCTATGCTTGAAGAGCTCCTCTATAGCCAACACCTATATAAATAAAAATGGAAATGCAAAATACCATGATTACTAAACCAGTTCATCTGGAAACGGCTTCTGGAAATAATTGTAGAACAGATTTTAAGCCCAATTACCTGCTCAACAATTTCATGCCGCTGAAGGTTCCTTGAAAATCCTCCCTTGCCAGTAGCACAAAATGAGCAACGTAATGGGCAGCCTACCTAGATATTTTAAGTCAACATAAAGAAGTTAGTGTAAAAATAAACAAAATGACATAAACATAAAACGAAACTGCTCCTAAACTAGAAAATTTGATCTCTGTAAAAACCATTTGCCATTTTCTTCATTGAGTAGTTCATACCTGTGATGAGACACATGCAGTGAGGCGGTAAGAACCTTTATTGTCTTCAACCGGTATCCCAACTGTCTCAACCAATCTATTGTCCTCCAGTTTTATTAATATCTACAAATATCAAAGATGGCTAGAAATAAGAAATAAATAAAATTCATGACCATAAGACCAAAAAGTTCTCCTAACATGGGGACTGCCAAATTTCCTTCAAATGAATATGGATTTCAGAGGGGTATGTGTGTATGCATGTGTATATGTGTGGTGTGGAATTCTGGATGGGTGGATTGGTGCATTTGTGGGGGTTGAGAAATAGTTTTACATACACAGAAGGGGGAGGGGGGATACCTTCAATTTTTCTAACTAATCCTAGACTTATTAACCTTGATTTGATTATTTAAAAAAGATATGCACGAATCCCCACCATTTCACTATGGATCCATTTGGTTGCACATAGAATGAAGGAAAGCAAATGATTTCCCAGAAATGCCTTTACTTTTATGAATAACAAGAAAATTGTATTAATGAGAATTAAAGAGTACATCAGATAGGAATGATGCTATATGGCTCATTACCACTTGAACCTCTTTATCTCATTCCTATAGATACATAGCACAGTATTATTTGTCAACAACCAGATTATTACAACTTTTGAGTCTCCCTTAATTACAAGTTTCTCCACCCCCAATTACATTGCCTTTTGAACCCCAAAAACTGCAGCCATTAACTCTGCCCTTGTTGAATTCCCTTCACCTATTGGTCCTGAAAGTATTGCATGTAATTTATCCATTTTCATCCCTTAACACCCCTCCTATTCATGATGGTCCCATATTGTCACCCTTTCCTTTCCTCCCAAATGTGAAATCTGAAAATCAGAAATGGTATTTTCTGTTGATTGGGTACACGTGAAATGGCAATGAAAAGCAAAAACTTTCCAAAGAGTAGTAGTTATAGGAAAAATGGTGTTCCTTCTTTTTTTTTTTTTTTTTTGATAGGAAATGGTAACTTTCATTAGAGAATTGAAAAGATTACAGGCTTACCACCCACAAAATGGATGGAAAAAGAAAATCAAAAACTTACAAACAGGCCCAAAACAAAGCCTCCCTAGTAACTCCTTGCTTAGCTAAAGTGTCAGCCATTCCATTTGCTGACCTTCTTACCCATTTAAAATGCACCCCAATCTCCCTTGCTAAGCTAACAATCTCTCTTAGAGGCTGTCTAAGAGACGACACTCCCAGGTTTCCAGCTTGCATCCACCCTATTACCAGATTGGAGTCTCCTTCCACTTCTAATTGCTGCATTCCCCATTGTTTCACCAGTTTCAAACCTTTAAGGCCATTACTTCTGCCCTTAATGAATTTCCCACCCCAATTGGGCCCGAGTAAAGGGCCAAGACTTTTCCTTCCTCGTTTCTGTACACACCCCCAACTCCTGATTGACCTGGATTACACAAGGAGCTTCCATCAAAGTTTAGCTTCACCCTGAACTGAGCGGTGGTACCCAACATTCTTGTACCATAGGGGAGGAAAGCGAGGATACAGCTATAGCACTCCAATTTCTAATTAAGTCAGCGGAGGATAGTGTTCCTTCTATTTTTCCACAAGTCTCAGCGATTCAGGTTTATTTTCCAAGTTAAATCAAACATCCAAAAAAGTAGGAAAATGATCCATTTTCCTATTGAATATAATTTCCAAGGAAATTATTTCTTTTCCTTCATACTATTTGCAAACAAATGCAACCTATGTGTAACTTATAAGCTGTAAATTCTTATATATTCAATAAAGTCCTAGATATCATTCATTATATAACATTCCTAATTTCCTATACAATGAGAATATAGTTTATTAGAGACCACTTTTGTCCATTCTATCTTCATGATTTATATGATACACTAGATTTTTAGTTTTACAAGTCATATGGATGATGCAGATAAAGGAGCATCTAAAAACAACATTTAATTCAGAATTAAAAAAGATGGAAAAAGGAAACACCAACCTTTATTTTTATTCATTACCATCATCATACAAGCCTTATAATAACCTTTATCTTTATTAATTCATAAAATTCTATATTAGATTATAAATCATCATATACTTAAAACAGTGTTTAAATTTGCATGTGACACTACATTTTGAAGCATACACTGAGGTTGAGGCACGAGAAAGCCTTAAGAGTCACAGTACAAAGTATATGGCACATGCCCCACAGTCAAGAAAGTAGGTCTCAGAGATTCATAGTTTCATAGAGTGACAGAAATAGGATCTTTACCACAAGACAAGCATGAATGCACACATGGAATCATTAGAGCTACCCTTTTTTTCTTTTTTTTTTTTGAGAAAAGGTAACACAAAAGTTTTATTAGAAAAGAATCAGGATAATACCTGGCTGAGCAAACCCACTACCAACCCCCACCTAGGAAAGGACAACAACTTATAACTCCCACAGACTCTTGGAGTTCAGATGCAGAAGGGCACTCTGAAACTTGAATTCACTGACAAAAGAAACCCAAGACACAAGCTTACCCATAGCCAAATTAATTAACTCATCCACCTCTTTACTTTTTTTTACAGATCTGTCTCCTATTTCTCTCAGCCCATACAGTCCTCAACAGGGCAGCAGGGATAGATTTTTTATTTATTTATTATTATTTTTTTTTTTTTGATTGATAGAAGGGATAGACTTCTAAACACACTTCCCCTTCCTACTCAGGTTCCAGCACCACAAGATCTCCTTAACTGAATTTGGCATGACCTAACAACAAATCCCTGCAGATTTAATGAAGTGCCACCAGATTTGAGAAGAAACCGAACAGTGAAGCACAGATGATCAACAGTTTCCATCACTTGCCCACACAAGCTGCAGTTCAGATCCTGGATGCTAGAGACTTCACAGAGAAAAGACCATCCATTCCCACTCCACCTCCACCTCCATTCTTCTTCCTGGCTAATATCAACAGCCAACCTTTAGCAGATGAAGCAGACCCGACACCCAATCTAATTCCCAATCTTGGAAATTCCTTCTAAAGCTCGGGGCCTAGACTACATTACCCCCTAGGAAAGCCATCTTACCAAGCAAACCTACACTCAACCTTGCAACTTTTGCCTCAATGGTTGACTCTACAACCCAATAATTCTACATCCAATATTCCAACAACTATGGAACGTAGTCACAGTCTACGTTTGCTCCTCTTTCAAGCATTCAGACCAAAGTGCATAACAGACTCCTTCGTACTTGGTTTGGTAAAATAGCTATACCAATTGCCAAATTAATGATAACGTCACCGGAATTATATTCCACCAACTACCCATGAGCTCTTTAATAATGGACAAGCTACAGATAACATCTTCTAATAATAACTGCCTCAATTAGTTTGTTATTGGTTAGTTAACCATATTAATGGAAACTGACAAAACAAAATGCAAGTAATAATGCATAAAAAAAACAAATAAATAGACTTAACATCCCACCTTAATAGTGTCATCAGCCGCGGCAACGGCACGATGAATGGGCGATCTCCCAACCCTCCATCCAGCTTCCTGAAGATCACTCCTAAAGGCCTGAGGCACTGTTAACCATAATTGGGTCACAAATAACAATTACTGATATTCCAATAATAAGGAAATCCGAAGAAACAAAAACGCAAACATTACGGGGGGTTGATTTACTTAAACAGAAGAGTATAAAGGAAAGAGGGAAGGACAAAAAGAAAGAAAGAAAAAGCAACTCACGGTGACTGAAATCCTGAATTTCTTTGGCCTTAGTCTTGTAAAGAAGATGATGAAGTTGCTTTCCTCGATAGCTTTGCTGATGAATAATTCAAATTTCAAAGATGAGTTTCAAAATATACAGAGATATATATAAACTGGTGACATTACCCTTCCGTTTTACCTGGCCAAAGTCTCTAGCGACCTGCTGAAGCTCTTGCTCGGACATGCCAAGGAGGATGCGAGAATCCAGCTGAGACTGAGAAACGCGGGGCGGAGATGGGAGGGAAACTGTACGCAAAGGGATGGAAATGGAACGAGAACGAACTGCTCGCGCGAGGGGAGCGGAGCACACGTTATGCAGCAGCGCCATTGAAGTGGCGACCACTACTACTGCCTGCCGCCCTCTTAGTTTTCAGAGGCTCTCAGAGCGAAACCAATTTCTACCGTTTACCGGGAAATATCTCCAACTCTCACAGCCTCGCGTCTCATTATATTTGCGCCTAAAAAAACGAAGAAGATAATTATAAACGGCACCCTATATCCAGGGACCGGGACTCCTATTTTCCGACAGTCGACGAAGGCTATCACATTAAGTAGCGGGGACTCGTGCAATGTACGAAAAAATATGAAATATTGAATAAATTTGAGGCTCCGTTTGGTTTGTGGGATGGGAATGAGAATATTCCCTTTTCTCTTATTTGTTTTGAAGGAAATAGATGAATGGGACGAGAAAAATGATATTAGATCTCAAAATAGTAGAAAGAGGGTCGCACCAAAACAGTGTGACCTTGGTGGAAAAACTCAAGAAACCTCCCCTTTCCCATTCGAACCCAGAAGCAGAGCAACGGTGGCAGTACCCCCCTCTCAGCCACTCCCGTCCTCCCTCTCTCCTTTCTTCTTCTTCCGTCTTTTGTTTTTCACCCAAAAAAAAGCATTGTTCATCGTCTTCTCGACAATGAACATAGGTAATACCAGTGGTGATGACTAGGATCATTTACCCTATAGTACTCTCTGTTCTTCCATTTTCTCTATTTCCCCCTTCCTTTACATCTTCACTTTCTGTCGGCGAACTACTGTTTGTCTTCCTCTTGGTGAAATAGAGCACCCCACAGCGGCTATACTCCATCATTCCTACCGTCTTCGGTAACTGTCTCACTAGTTTTGACTAATTTTTCCGATCATCCATTGTTTCTGGCTTCGTAGCTATTTGTCTTCCTTCAGCTTCGTCTCACCAAAATTCCTACTCTCAATCCTTCTTCCTCCTTTTCTCTGATCGCCGCTGCAACTCTCGACAGCGGCAATCTAAGAATCTCAGCACTCCTATTTCTCTCTCATTCCCTCATTTTCCCTCTCTCTTTCTCTCTCTCTCTCTCTCTCTCTGATCGCCACTACAGTCATGGAGCTCTATTCTTCATGAATCTGGTGAAGAAGCAACTCATGACAGTGCTTTTCCTATTATTTTCCCACATATAAAACCAAACAATGGAAAGGTAAATTTTTACACTTTTCCATCAAATCCCATCCCATCCCACCCAAATCTTCCCACAAACCAAACAGAGCCTTAGGAATAAGTAGACTGTAATCCTTGTGAGAAATCTGAAATTATAGCCACGTGCTAGTCTACTAGTAGCCCCTATAAATCACATTCTACTACTGTGGATTTGGCATCAATCCATGGTCAGGATTCATTCCACCTCTAGGGTGGAGTTAAGATTTCTATGGGTGGATTGAACAGTTAAAACCCCAGAATTTTATTTATTATTAATTAATTGATAAATTAATAATCAAATTTTGTTATTAATTAATTAAAAATATTCAAAGTTATTATTAATATTTAATAATTGTACTTTTCATTTAATATTGATTTATAGAAAATAATTATTGTTAATTTAATACGAATAAATATTTTTAACCAATTTAATTTTATTAATCATTTGTAGTAATTTTAGTAATTGATTATTTAAAAAAAATTGATTGACTTTAAATAAATAAAAATAATTATAAAAGCTAACATGTTTATTAATTTCACTAATAATTAACAACTATATAGGAATGGCAAAGGGGTGGGGCACCCCATCCCTGTCCCCACCCTATAGTCAAGACACTCTACCCCATCCACACCCCATCCCTAGTGTCAGGCAATTTAGGGCAAGGCACCCACTCCCCGTTAGGGATGGGGAATCCACGAATTTCCTCGCCTCGTCCTCACTGTCGAGCAAGTTTAGGGCAAGGCATCCACTCCTCATCAAGGATGGGGAATCCTCAAATTTTCCCCACCCCATCCCTAGTGTCGAGCGGGTTCAAGGTAAGGCACCCACTCCCTTTTAACCCAATATTCAATTTAATGACAAAAATGATCAAAAGGATATACTGAGTATCAGTCACATGGTAAATTTCTAAAACTACATTAAATTGTCTTTAATTTTCAAAAATGTAATTTTATGAAAAAATTAGAAAATTTATTACATTTGTGTTATTTTGAAAATTTATTCAAATTTATTTTTAAATTGTTATTAAATAATTTATTTTCTTTTTAAATGGTTTACTTATAGAATTACACTAATTTATCTTATATTTTCTAATATAAACTAATCAATAATTTCCTGTTTCCAATATTATACTAATTTATCTTAAAAATTTGTGTAATTATTGGTTCAGATTACAGTTTTCCCTTTCCCATACTCATTTATCTTTAATAATTTACAATGCAAATTACATAATTTCTCAATAGTTTTCTAAAATCTATCAAATGAAATAAATTTTCCTAAAATTTCCAAAATATTTCAATAATTTTTAATAATTATTTAATACATTTTAAATAAACTTTCAAAAATTTTATATCTTTTAATTTCCAAAATTTTATTTTACGAAAATGTAGTTTTATGAAAAATTTTGAAAAAATTATTACATTTGTGTAATAATGGAGATTTATTGAGAATTATTTTAAACTGTTATTAAATATTTATTTTTATTAGGTAGTTTACTAAAAAAATTACACTAATTTATCTTTTATTTTCCAATATAAATTAATTAATAATTTCATTTTCTAACATTATAATGTTTTATTCCCCATCTACATTTGGTTATTAACTATAATAATATCAATAACTAAAATTTTATACTTTTTGATAATTGTTAAATATAATTCTCAATTTTATAAAAATTAGTTAAAGAGTTTTGAATTTCTATAAAGTGTTGTTAATTAACATGAATATAACAGTATTTACCCAAAATACTTTAAAAAGTCATGATAGTTAATAACAATATTTATTAATTTTTGGTAATTTACTAATTGTACTGATAAGAATATTTAATTTTTGGTAATTTACCAACCATATTTATTAACTTTTGAAAATAACACTATTTAATACTCATTGAATATGGGTTGGATTAAATATTAACCATATTTAACTATTTACTAATTAATATGAATATTTTAAATGAGAGAGAGTGGATATAGATTGGGGGGAGAGAGTTTAAGAATTGATTGGGGAGTGGGGTAACATGATAAGAGGAGATACCTTAGGAGAGAGATTCTACGAATATTTTTAGGTAGTTGGGTTGGGAATTGTAACAAGGCTTAATTAGAGTGGTGGGAAGGGGAGAGGAGAGAGAGTCAAGGTGAATGCAGGGTGGGGGAAATGGAGCAAGGAGAGGCATGATGATGTGGACAATCTTGCTATATATTTATTTATTTATTTAACCCCGCAATTACGTTGTGGAATATTTTTTTAAACAATGTTTTCAAAACTAGACCGGGTCGGATGGTCGGATCGGAAAAACCAGGAATGACCGGTTCCGTTTTCCTTCAAAACCGCTTTTTCCTCCAAAACCGTTGATTTTGGTCAACAAACCGCTAAACCGACCGATTAACTGTTTGAACCGTTCGAACGGTTTTGACCATTTTTCAATTTTTTTAATTTTTTTATATTTTTGTCAGAACGGGCCAACTATTCGAACCAGTAACCGAACCGCTGACCGGTTCATTTGTAAAAACCATGCTTTTAAATCTCCAAAGCCAAACTACCCTTTTGCTAACTTATGGGGTCCAACTATGTTGTCAAAAAGATATAATATGGGGAAAATTTACAATCAATCAACCGGCATAATAAAAGTAGTAACCAATCAATTGAGTTTTCATCAAAATTCATTCGAATTGTGATTGGTCAAAAGCATTTCTGATATCATGTCTTTTAGGCATCATAAATTTTTCTATTTTATGATATCATTTTACCCTTTTGATTTTAGTTTTTAATTAGGTTTTGCTTTGAACCAAGTTTATGTTAAGGATGTCTTAAGAATGATTGATCAATCAATTTCTTGAGAATTAGTTGTACTTAGAATAGTTACTTTCATCATTTTGACTTGATATTTATTGATGGAGGGTGATTTGGCTCGACCTCGTAGCATGGGGACACGTGGGTACAACCTGGCATAAGTGACAGGTCAGCATGGTAGCATGGCCATAACTCGGTGTACTGAACTCGCCAGAGCCCAGCAACGTAGCTCGGCGAACGTAGCAACTCGTCAAGCAGAAAGATCTAGTACACAGAATTCCCCCTAAGGGAGGAGGACTACCAAGCTCCTCCCAAGACCCGAACTTCCCCTGGTGGGCCCCAAACTCTTCCTTCCCGAAAAGGGAACACCCCGATCTACGGGAAGTACCCCGAAGTGGGGACACTTCAGGATAATCCCATCAACGCTCCCGCCCATATTTGCCTAAGGCTCAACTCGAGCGCTTGCACCTCGGCTACCCCGGCACCTCGATGTAGGGTAGCTCGAACCATGGCAACTCAATGCAAAGTAGCTCGGTAACCTACAGAAAAGATCCGCCTGACAATAGTACCTGCCGAATCCGGAGGTTGTGCCCACGTCTCTTGTCAGGCGGCGTTGTGCTAGACACTTCTGCCAGATGTGGCGCGCCTGATAGGTCCGTACACTACAATGGGTGCCCACATCCACCACCTCGTCTCTGGCAGTAACGGCTGCGGCAGAGGCGGTTAAGCCAGATTTGACAAAACACCGGTATAAGAGAACCCTAACCCTCGCGAAGCAAAGGTATTGAAGCTAGCGCAATCAACACTCTTAGTTTTCTCTCTGCATTTTCCTCAAGTTTTCTCAGAATTCTAACTTAAGCATCGGAGCGTTCCCGCCGGGAGAGCCACCTGGAAACTCTTCACGTTCCTCTTCGTCTCAGGTACCGTCAATCACAGCTAGGAGCCAGGTTCCAGCCAGCTAGGAGTGCCCGGATCGTGTAGCATCATTTGGCGCTATCTGTGGGAATCGCTTCAAAAGGCCTTCCTTTAACTTCTGTGTAACTTTCTCCAAAGAACACATCAGCACCATCAGCACTCATGGCTTCCTCCAGCAACGCCGGACGCCGAAATGCCTCTAAGGAACGACCCCAGCTTCCCACTGTCTACATCAGACAATTCACCGTCCCCCTCTCTATGGACGGAGTTCCTAGTCTGAGTGTGCCTCAGACAGTGGCACCCGTGGCTATTCCACTTCCCCCTACGGTTGGAACAACCTTCGCTGAACCCACCATCCCCCCTCCGGTGGCTAGCCAAG